CCCTTACATTACCTAAGTGTTGTCAGTGACTCGTAAATGGATGCCTGACCCATCCTGCTATCTGTGCTAGCACATGCCCGTAACTCTTCCATTGGTCCCACTTTAGGGTAAAAAAAATAAGCTATAAGTCATCTCTACAATGGTGCTTGGATTTCGGATGGGGATAGTCATGTCAAAACCCAGTTCTGGCTTCCCTTACACCTCTTATAATCGTTTACTGCCCTGACATTCTAATGGTCCAAAAAATGATTCCTTTCATCTTAGAGATACTCTGTCTTAGGCCCTTTCCTATACCCTCCCCATTTCTTTTCACCTTGTTAAACTCTGAGAGGATCCTGACGACTTTCATAAAAGCTGGTCATACTATAAGCCATGATCTCTTCTGCCCCAGTAAGAGTATCTGGCAGGTGTGAAAAGCTACATGTTATGCCTCATAGGAAGGATTGGGGGAAATGAGAACTAGGCTCTATATCTCTACTTCAAAGGCTATAAGTTGTTGACCCACTGGCTGAATTCAGCCCATAGATATAAGCTTGGCTTGCTCCATCAACATTTTTAAAAATATTGAGTCAGGGCCGGCCGAGTGACTCAGTTGGTTAAGAGCTCACTCAAGAGTGCAAGCTCTGAGCAACAGTGGTTCGATGCCTGGCCTGAGCTGAGCTGCTGCTGAGCTGCCAACAGGCGGCAGGATGGCTCAGCTAAAAAAAAAAAAAATAAATAAATATTGAGTCGTTATTTTTAAATGGAAACATTTCATATGAAATCTGAGTTTCTGATTTCTCTTTAATCTTTAAAATTTGGAAGTTTGGCCACCTTCCCACATGGCAATGGCTGGCAAACACTAAAGAGCCGCTGCTCCTTGAGGTAGGACATGTGTTCTCTAGTACATGACAGTCCCCACCCTTCTCTTCTGCTCCTTATCATAACCCAGGTCACTCATTTACATATCCCCCCTGGCCATGACAGGCCTTTGAGGTCTGAAACCCTGCTCCACTCTCAACCTGGCTGGGAAAGAATGTCACGTTTGGCTGGTGACCTCAGGGCACAGAAGGAACTCTTTGCTTCCAATCATTCTTCTCTAATAGTCTTTACTCCTATTCCTCCCCTATTCCCTTCTCCTTCCCCTATCCCCCAAAAAGTCTGGGAAGAGAATCGCTAGGGAATGTAAAGTGACCAAAATAAATGCACACTGTCAAGCACTACCAAGCATGAGTGTCAGCTCTGTGACTAGGGCACTCAGAGGTCCTGTGCTAGGCCGAAGGCCCTGCTCCACAGGAGAATGCTCCCAGCCCCTTACAAACAGAATGCACAAGAGGGCATACCAGACATATAGGAGCGGCCATTGCAGTCTTCTATGTCCATCTTAGATTCTGCTGAAAGAGAAAATACCTGCTATTAGAAGCCAGATTGGGGAAGGAAGGAGTCTAACATTCTGGAGTTAGCAAGAAACCTAAGGGATCACTTAAGTGTGCTCTGACCCTATCCTAAAAAAGAAAAACCTCACACCTTGTCCTGGTGTGGAAGACAATGAACCCTGACTTACAAACCCCAGGGTCTCCTCCAACTCACTTCAGCTTGCCCAGCCTCTGGGGTGGAAACACTTATTCCAGAGTGGTCGTGGTTGTGTTGTTTTATGAGTAGACCCTCTCCTTGCAGGTGGAGCTGATGCTATAGGAAAGGAAGCAGGTTACAGCTCAGTTCAGCCCTTCGGAGGCAAAGAAACAATCCCATAGAGCAGCAGCTCTCAACCTGTGGGTCGCGACCCCTTTGGGGGTCGAACGACCCTTTCACAGGGGTCGCCTAAGACCATCGGAAAACAAAAAGATATTT